ATATATATAATACAAAAAAATAAGTTTCAACTGCAGTTTCCCCTAAAAATATTGAGTAGCGTGCAATTGTGATGCATCCTAGTGACAGACAGAAATGGCAACCAAAAGCACTCATTAGAGAGAAGCGGAGGTGCGCGAAATTAGTCTCACTTTTGCAAATTAAGAACAGGGGTTGCTTTATTTCCACGACTCGTGGTGTATAACACAGTACAATACCACGTATTTCCATATTTAGAAAGAGGACGCTAAGGCTTGCACGCACGCGCCATTCCTGCTAAGTGCAAAATCTGTACTTTGATTCACTCGCAGCTAAACTCAGTTAAGGAGTTGAGTTTATTTATCTTCCTTAGCAATATGTTAAAATAAATGTTTGACTCAGGCCGACTTCGGGGTCCACGAACAGAGTGTCGCAAGGCATCGTTGTTCGCCTCGCTAAACTTCTTCCATCTTCGAAACTGCTTTTATTTCCACCCTGGGCTTGTGTCGTACTTGGGGTGGCGCTGATTTGCATAGCCTGATCACAGACACACGAGCAGCATATAAGGAAATCTCACAGGGTGTCGCATGGGACATGAGCGATGCACTAATGCGTGATCGTAAGGCGACGCCCGGGGTGCCAGTGAGTAGTCAGCTGATTTATATTTTCGTAGAACTGTAACCTCCCCATCAATGTGTGAGCACGCTGAGGGAGGAGTGAATAAGAGGAAGTAGAATCGAAGGGTGTCAGTAGATCAGGTGCGTATGTGGTTACGTTACAGATAGTTGTGCTTGATAATCACGGCAGAGGAGGTGAATAACACACCACACTCCACATCGCTATAAATATATGAAGTAAAAACTTAGCGAACCGAACTCGGACATCGCAATCCTTCTCTAACGTTTGATACTATAAATCTCATGTATGTATGCCAGTATCATACCTTCAAGTCATCTTCTTTGAAAGCCTCGCTCACTTGCTGTATGACATCTCCGATCTGCTTTTTGTTTTCTTCGTGCACAACAGATATCTCCTACAAGCAGTCAGTGATACAAAACCGAATCCAATAAGCAAGCAATCTCGGAGTAATATAACTGTCATACATACGATTAAAAATCGTATTCGAGACACAGGATATTCGTAGAATCGTGATAAATACCAGGACAACTGTAATAACTTCGAAGTAGTACTGGTGAAAATGTCGATGTACATGTACCAATCATAACAATTTATTAAGTGGATGATAACTTAACCAGCATATTTATATATAGCCAATGACAGCGTTAAAAACACGCATTTCGTTGTCGAGTTTCTAAGTGCGACCGAATTCTAAAAACGAGCCAGAGGTGGAGATTGTCCGAAGGGGTTCAAACTCGAAATACTGGACAAAATTTGTCTATAATAAAACTGACGACAACATAGACCTAGCAAAATACCCAGTCCAGTGACACTTTGATATTTGGGGATACCTACTGAGCCACGCCCTAAATACTGGTCAGACACAATTTGAATGCACACTTACAGCTTCGGTCTCCGCATCTTCTATGGCTTCGTTGATGTCCATAATCTCCATTAGGAAGGCCGGATCATTATTATCTGTCCCTTCTTCCATAGGCATGCCTCGTAATTTGAGCTGTAGGTGACCAGGAATGAACAGAGGTTCAGCACAAGCATATGAAGAACCCCAAATCTTGTATTTAGAGTCTGAGTCTAAGTCAGAATTTCAACCATAAATCGAATAGCAAACAGGAATATGTCCGCGCGTAGATGCACCATGTATAATGTAGAAAGGCTTCCCATCAACAACACGACTTTTCGTCAAATGTAGGTTTGCGCTACGCGACAAAGTATGTGATAGCAAGATTCGGAAAAATCGATGGGTGATATGAAAGCGTAGATGAAACCAAAGTGTGTGTAGAAGGACAGACACAGAAGAGATATACAATCACAGCTATGAGATCAACGCATACGATATGTACTGACTTACCAAGTAAAGCCCTCGTTGTAAGGGGTCCCGCAACGTCCGGAAAGCTTTATTCAATAAGCTACTTTGTTGAGCAGCGTTCCGCTTTTGTTCCTGTTATTGTTATTATTGTTCGTGGGTTGAAAGCATATAATAAATAAGTATTCTCACAATACACCGGAAGCAAAGCCCAATATAATATACCATACGCAAAACCAAACTACTGACAATCGCAAATCGATCACATAATCTCAGAAAATAAAACTCAAAATAGATCAGCAATTACTGTAGGAATCCCAAAAAAACTTACCGGCGTAGACATTGACCATTTATCGGGATGTAGCAGGGTTTGGCTTCGTCGGTATTGCGACTGAAGATTCTTGACATTCACGTTAAACGTCGGTGCTCTGTACAAATTGAGAGGTCGATGTGTAGGCACGCCATCAGTAACTGAAGATGAAACAGACAATGCTTGGTATTGTCAGATACACGTGGGCAAATTAAGTTGATCAAACGAGAGCATGTATGCATGTGCAACACAGCGTGTTCATTCATCTTCAATATAGTACGTGGTACACCCAGTGGTACACCCAAGCAGTCACAGCGAATTACCAATAATTACGGATATGTGTGTAGTTAAAACGTCTTCGGCAATGAACAGGTATGACTAATCTTGGCATCAAGTGGTATTGAAGTTGTGATGTTTCCGAAAAGAATCAAGCAATCCTCGATGAGTTAGCATAACTCAGGTCGACTAACACACACAGAGATGAGACCAAAACGTCTACTTACTTGTCAAACAGATCGTAGTAGTTGTATTCTGGGTGTGGAGGTTGCAGAGTATGGCACTTCTCACACGTGATTTCATCCAGGAATCTCTGAGGCACTTGCTCTCTGGCATGCCCACACACCCAGCATTTGATGATCCGCAAACATGCTCGGTCGGGAGGGTCGCATTCACTGTTTGGGATAAACGCAAGGATCATGTATTAAGTACCTTCCCTCGGTGTACAAGTTTAATAGATCATCAAGTCTAAGAGGAGATGAAAATGCTACGAAGACTGATACAAAGTTATATGGAGCAATCTAAGCTTGCAAATACTGAGTGTGTTGGAAATATAAAATCGAAGAGAAGCGTCCTAATGGCCAGAAATAGTCTGCAGTAGTCAGATGTGCGGTATACTAGAAACAGCAAGCCTATCTACGCTAGAAACACACACGCAGTCATGTACAAGGTAGTAGCTCCTCAAAAGTGTGACAGTTTGAACTGCAAAGTTAGCTTAACACACACGCAGTCATGTGCAACGTAGCAGATCCTCATGAGATGAGACTACGCGAACTCTCCCAGAACCAACCCAACAATGATAACCTTTCACCATTAGCGAGCACCAACCTGGCTTATACGTTGATGTACACAAACATGCATGTATAATAGATTTAATACCTACTTAGAAACATACAAACATAAACACAAGAACACACGCATACACAGAAACAAACATATATACATAGGCAACTACAAAACACAAACACAAACACAAAAACAAGCATCACATATATACGCACACTTAACACAACTGGCAAAAAAACTCTAATTCACCAAATATGTGTGTACGCCAACACACACACACACTATATATATATATATATATATATATATGTAGATAGATATGTATATATATAAATAGGTACGCGTCTTTGTAAATAAACATATATATGGAAGAAAAAATTGGCAAAACAATTCATATACAGATACAGATATATATATACATACAAACAATATATATATATATATATACGTACATATATACATAAATATATATATATATATATATATACGTATGTATATATACTGTATACACACACACATATATATATATA